AGAAGCCTTGCATGCTCTGTACCAAAAGGGTTCGCTTGGTAGAGAACTTCTCAGATCGGGAAGACAAACTTGAGCCAGGTATATTTTATTATTCATCTCCATTCCGTTTCGAGATGCCGTGGGATATGTTAGTGACAGCAAAATAGTGCAGTATAGGCAGAAATTGGGCGCAGTATAATTGAAAATCAGTCTGTTTTAATTTTTTGGCGGAAGCATTGTAATGTTAAGATTGACATGAAGTAATTACCACACCAGTGAGATAGGGAGAGAGGCATATTTGTGGAGAGGCAAAAAAACAAAGAAAAAGCATCTCTGCCGCAGAAGCGATTAGTGAGTGCACGTTGGAATAAAATTTTCAAGAAGTTCTTGTTTGCTCGCTCTCGTAATGACCATTTTCTATGTTAAGCATGTAGAACATAACCTCTTTTGTTGGTTTGTTGGAACCTAAATTTTTTCAGATACAATACAGTTCACAAATAGTGCAGCTATGACTGGCGTTGAGGCTGTGTCCAATTCAGAACCTGCTGAAGTCGTTGATTCGAACGTGAAGGACTCGTTCGTCCAGGTCTCAGGTGCCTTTTTTCGGCCTCATATTTTCCTGTAATCGAACTAGTCAGAAATGTCGTTCAGGGCGTGGTGTGCGTTTCAAAATGGTTTTTTGAAATTAATTGGGGCATGTGCCTGAGGCCTGAGGTCTGAGGAGCCTGAGATTGCCAAAAAGGGCAGAAAACTTTCCTTAGGAAGTGAATCCTTACATTTACAATATTTGTAGGGTCGAACAGCTGTATGTTAGAAGGGTTCTGCTCAGTGAGTAAATTCGGATATATATGAGCGCAAGGAAGTGGAAAAAAGAGAAATGCAGAAACCTGTCTTTTAGGCGGATCGAACCACAGGCCATTGTATCTCTTGTATTTTTTGGCATTTCAAGAATCGCTCAGAAAAATGATCCTCAGTTTCATGCCATTTGCATGCCCTATAACATGCATAATTCCTTTGAAAAAAAAAACGTTCCGTTTTCTGAAAGATTACCCTGAGAAACGACGCCATCTTACCATTTGTTTTCATTTTACAACTTTTTCTATTTGATGAATGGCTTACCCATGGTTCGCACGTCCCGAGACCCCTTCCCCTAAATATAGCCACATCCTTGCTCGGGGTTGTTGTTTCGCATTTTTCGATAATGTCACCTACAGCTTCCATTCATTCTTTGCACCCTAGTTTTAGAGCGGAAAGGCGGGCTACGAACTTGTCGTCAACGGAAATCTCTTCTTTTGGATGATGAGACACGACACCTGCTTTAGCCCCGTTTTAACCCTGCTGTTCACATAAGCCTACACAATTCCTACTCCTGTGTGGCGGCGTGCGCCACATGATCGGCGCACGCGCGAAAAGCTGTGTCCGTTACGTTCTAATGTTGTTTTGCCCATAAAATGACTTGCTAGGGATAGCCGGTATCAAAGTCAAGGTGTCTTTCCCTTCTTAGTCTACTACCATTTACACGACTTCGGGGGAATGGAATGTCTTGTGTTTTTGGGCGAGGTACAGCCCGGGATTTAGCGTTGTTCTGATGTGATCTAGTGGCCGATGTCAGACTTTGCGATTGGAGCGATTGTTGCACCAATTGCAGGAGCGACGGATCGCTTGAGCGATCCATCGCTGCGAGCGACGGGAGATTTACACGGCCGACCAACGATAATTCGGCGCCATCAGCTCGTAAATCTCCCGTCGCTCGCAGCTCCCTGCCACAACGGCCAAGGCACTTATCACGGCCCGAGCGATGGATCGCTTGAGCGATCCATCGCTCGGGC